TTGTGAAATATCTCCGAGAATTTCCTTACTGTGAAGTGGTGGCCACCATCACTTCTGGGACATCTGTACCCTTTTCATCACAATCACTTGCTCATTTATGCTGAGAAGCTCCCCTTCATGAAGGTCCCCTAGCTGCCTGTCCAGAATCTCTCAAACAGCAGCGGCAACCTTCCCAAAGTCAAATACAATGCAATTCATGATCAGTTTGAATCCCGTGGCTATTTGCAGTGTAGTACGTTTCCACCACACTGCATATTACTGTTACTTTCTGCCATGATGCTCCCCATTTCTTCCAAACCTCAGCTATAGAAATTGCAAAATCTCCGGCTGTAGCATCAGTAGCCGTCCAAAAGTCCATTAGAAGCTGAAATGAACCTGTCCACTGGCTGATCAATGAAGTTGGTTTGATGGTAAAAACACAAGTTTTCACATTTTCATTCAAAAGCCCAAGAGAATGTGGGGCATAACCCAACAGGAGTGCTAAAAGCTTACAATGTCTCTGTACCACTAGGAGATAAAGAGGCGACACCATCAAAAGCTCTGTCTTCAGTGAGTAAACTGAGCAACAGATGAGCAGCAAGCCACCAGCAGACTTTGAAAGATCTGATGGGCGCCTGGGTGGCTCAGTTGGTTAAGCGACTGCCTTCGGCTCAGGTCATGATCCTGGAGTCTCAGGATTGAGTCCCGCATCGGGCTTCCTGCTCAGCTTCTCCTTCTGACCCTCCCCCCTCTCATGTGCTCTCTCTTTCTCATTCTCTCTCAAATAAATAAATAAAATCTTTAAAAAAAAAAAAAAAAGAAGTGATCTGATAAGCCACTGATGGTGCTGCACGTCTGTGCTTTTGTAAATGAACTCTGTGGACTGAAGGGCCAGCATTCGAGTTTGTCCTTTATGCAGTTACTCGAACAGTGAATATACCACAGCAACTGAAATTTGAACCGTGTTGTTGGGAGACTGCTGTTATTTACCTACACTGCAGTAACCGATTCGTGCATATCAGAGCCACACAAAGCAAGGACTGCCTGTAGTGGACACAAAGAGATTAAAATACATAGTGACCTCTTTCCCCACTGAGCGCCAGTACTTTGAACAGTCAGCCCTTTACCTTTCCGATGCTTCTCTGGGATTCTCCCAAGGAAACAGTCTAACCAGACCACCCTAAACCCGGGTTTCTCAGCCTGAGACTTTTGACATTTCAGATCAGGTAATTCTGTGCTGTCAGGGGCTGCCCTGTGTACTGTAGGATTTTTACAGCAACATCTCTGGCCAGTAGCAACCCCCTCCCCTACTGTGACAACAAAGAATGTCTCGAACCAAGTATTGCCGTGTAAACTGGGGGTGGGAGAACCACTGCCCAAGACAAAGGCCCCACAGTCCAACCCACACACTCAGAGCTTCCCACCAGCATTTTAGTGCTTCACTCTTATAAACAGGAGATGACCAGAGATCACCAGGCCGCTAAGGAAAGTCACTGGCATTAGAGACTAGAGTGAAAAACAAGAAGAAAAACATTTTAATTACCATTAATATCTTCAAAGAAGAGATACTGATTGTATCCACTAATAGGATGCTATTTTTTTAAGGTTTTGGAAATCAGAAAGCAGGAATTTTTTTTTTAAGATTTTATTTATTTATTTGACAGAGACACAGCGAGAGAGGGAACACAAGCAGGGGGAGTGGGAGAGAAGCCGGCTTCCCGCCGAGCAGGAAGCCCGATGTGGGGCTTGATGCCAGGACCCTGGTATCATGACCTGAGCCAAAGGCAGACGCTTAACTACTGAGCCACCTAGGATTAGAGAACAGAGTTGAGGGCATCTCTCAATAAAATAAAAAGGACAAAATCAGAGAAACAGAAAAGTGTACCGAGTAAAACACTCAGAAATTAGGGCCAATTGGGTAGCTTAAAAAGCTCAAAAAAAAAAAGGTATCCAAATAATTCAGGAAGCTGGTGGAATTGAAAAACGTTATTTTCTAGACTCAGTGAAGTACTCGATCAACTGAAAAGTAAACCAACTCTTCGCTGTCAGGTTTCCAACACTTAATGACTAAAAATCCAAACAAGCTTCCAGAAAGATGGGTCATGTACGCATCAAAAAGATGTCCAAGGGCGCCTGGGTGGCTCAGTCCGTTGAAAGGCTGCCTTCGGCTCGGGTCATGATCACAGGGTCCTGGGATCGAGCCCCACATCGGGCTTCCTGCTCAGCGGGAGTCTGCTTCTTTTCTCCCTCCTATTCTCCCTCTGTTCTCTCTCTAATAAATAAATAAAAATCTTAAAAAAAAAAAAAAAATGTCTGACTTCTTCCACAGTAGCACTGAAAGCAGTGCCTTCAATACTCAAGGGAAATTATTTCAAACCTAGATCCTATACTCAAATTTTCAACTGAATGTGAAGATAGAATTAAAGCATGTCCAGATGTGCAAGGTCCCCCCAAAAAATCCTCCGCAACACTCTTCCCAGGAAACTGCTACAAGGTGTTCCCCATGAAAACAAGGGAATAGGGGTGCCTGGGTGGCTCAGTCAGTTAAGCATCTGCCTTCAGCTCAGGTCATGATCCCAGGGTCCTGGGATGGAGTCCTGCATCGGGCTCCCTGCTCAGTGGGGAGCCTGATTCTCCCTCTGCCTGCTGTTCCCCCTGCTTGCTCAGTCTCTCTCTCAAATAAATAAAATCATAAAAAAAAAAAAAAAAGATTCTCTCTCTCCCTTTCCCTCTGCCCCTCCCTCCTCTCCCATGAAGGAAGGGAGGGAGGGAGGGAGGGAGGGAAGGAGGGAGAGAGGAAGGAAAGAAGGAAAAATTTTAGGATGCAGATGTGAAACTTGTCTAGACTGGAACAGATAAGCTGTGAGGGAGGCTTCCCCAATACATCAGTAACACTCCTGTTGATGTTTTCAACAGTCCTAAGAGGAAATTAAGATAACTGGTACAGTGGGGTGCCTGGGTGGTTCAGTCCATTAAGCATCTGCCTTCAGCTCAGATCATGATCCTGAGGTCCTGGGATCGAGCCCCGTGTCAGGCTCCCTGCTCAGTGGGGAGTGTGCTTCTCCCTCCCCCTCCCCCTGCTCATTCTCTCTCTCTAGTAAATAAAATCTTTAAAAAAAAAAAAGACAACTGGTACAGGATAGATTAGGGACAAGAACCTAAAAAAAGACTACTCCAGGGAAATACCAAAAGTTGTACAAGGGTGCACCTGGGTGGCTCAGTCAGTTAAGCGTCTGCCTTCGGCTCAGGTCATGATCCCAGGGTCCTGGGATCGAGCCCCACATCGGGCCCCCTGCTCGGCGGGAAGCCTGCTTCTCCCTCTCCCACTCCCCCTGCTTGTGTTCCCTCTCTCACTGTGCTTGTCAAATAAATAAAATCTTTTAAAAAAAAGTTGTACAAGAAAAGTGATTACAGTATATTAACTGTTAAGACTCAGCAACTCAGTAATAACTTTTAAATACTATGAATATTATCTTAGCAAAATTAAGACCCAATTATACAGTGAAAGTGGGAGGTTAGGGTCAGTGTATGGTAAAAGTTGAAGATGACTAAAACTACACATCGTTTTCCACTATGGGAAGTCAAGAGCCAAAAGCTGGAAGGGCCAAGTAGTTGCACAAACGTATAGCATTCAGCAACACTGGGATAAATACCACAAGGACTGTGTCACAGTATCAGGAAAGGGAGAAATGGTGGGAGACCCATTTCTGTTATAAGCCTTGTTGAGTCACAGGACTCCTTAACATGTACACATGTAACCTTGATTTCAAAAACTTGTTTAAAAAAAAAAGCAACCTCTATGCCCAAGAAACATAGACCAAAGCTCTCCAGAGAATGTATCCCTAGCCTGTGGTAGGTATTACTATATATGGAAATACAAACTCCCTCTGGTCTCTTCTTAGCTCTTGGGGTTCCTCGTCCCCACATCTAGCTGCTCTTCCTAGAGAAACACATCCTTGATTCAAGTATTTTCTCAGCTGTTTTCTCCCAAGCCAAGAGGGAAATGTTGAGGCGGGTTACTATTCATGTAATCACAGGGAAGACAGGATCGAGGCTTGTGTGAGGACACATAGCATCAGGAAAGGAAACCAATACCGAAACTCAAGAGCGTCTCCTCCAAAACTTTCAGTCCAGGGATTAATGCTAAGTTCTCCTTTACCACACAGAGCCCCCTCCCTCCTTCCTCAAAAAAAAAAAAAAATCACAAGGCTACTTTCAGCCAGCCCCAGAGGCTACAACTGATGTCCACTCTCTGCTAAGATGTAGTACTGGGAAAGATACAACTCCCCAGGCTGGGTCTATCACCTGTAAGAGGGGGGTAAAGACCTATTCGAAGAGGTCTTGAGGATTAAATGTATATAAAAAGCTTAGCACAGTACCTGACCTTAAATGGTGAACACTGACTGAGCAAGTCTATGGCATGTACCCAACCAGTGATCTAATCTCTCTCAGGCATAGGTCAGGCAGGCATAGCTTTATGTGGTACAGTGTGGCTTCTCAAAGCATCTTCCTAAAACACAACTCTCAGAACAGGAATCATCTACCTAGTTTGCAAAGCAATGCACTTTTCATTAACTGTTCTGATCAAGGGTAAACGAGATAACGGGTCAAGACTGAAGAACCCAACACTGAGAATTAAGTAAGTTGAGCTAGCCACACACATATACACCCCACCCGTCTTAACATCCTTCATAATAGCAAAGCTAGGAACATTCTAAATAAGGATCTGGTAAAACAGTCCATTCAAACAGGAAAACTTTGTGGCTGTCAAACAATGAATACACTTATACATGCTAATGTGGAAGTGTCTAGGCTGTGCTATTACAAGGAAAAATGCCAAACAGCTCCAACAGTACTTATGGAGTTAAGTCACGTATATTCCGGGATCACAAGAAACAACAGGGAGTGGGGAAGTTTAAGTGGGTCAGTAGTTATTTAAGATACCCTCCTAAGAATGGCACAGGGCTAATTGATATGGAGCCCAGATGCTTCAAATATGAACAAAAACCATGAGAACGAAATTTTCTAAAAACTGTAGGCTTTTTTATTCAGTTAAGAGGTAGACAGATGAACATGGAAGGCTGTCCCATTTAACTTGCCCAAAGTTCATATTCCACTCCATTCATCCATCCCACACTGCCAGAAATCGTAAAGAAATAATCAAGAATGCCAGAAGGCTTTTTCTTCCTACTTCTTTTTAGCAATAATAGTCAATGAACTGCTGGCAAAAAAGTTACTACTAACTTAAATTTTCACTGTGTCCAAAGAACCTCGTCCCTGTAAGAAGTTCCCACATATGCCAATGGAACCTGCCACTACCGACGGGAGGGCAGAGTGCAAATGGCTCTATTCCTCTAAGAGACTACAAGGGAAGCTTCGGTTATGTTTGTTGTTCAGTCCCTGTGCATGTTAGGGCAGAAGCTGGTGAAACCACCAAGGCAGAGCGCACTGCGTCCAATGGCTCTGAATGGTTGTTTAAAAAAAAAAAAAAAAAAAAATCACAAGTTATCTTCAGAGACAACATTAAAACATAATGGAATTGAAGCCTGATACAAAAAGTAGAGAATTATGTACAGGAATTCCCAGCCCAGAAGGAAAAGGGACCTCAATAGGAACCAGTGGAAACCTGGCTATTTTACATAGCTAATTTTGAGACAAGTCATATTTAGCACAAAAGCAATTATAGCACAAGTAACACTTCCCTCCCACAGCTCCCAAACTTTAAAAAGACTCTTGTCGGTCTTCTGTAACACTGTGATCCTTCTTCAAAGGAGCAGGAATGTGTAAGGTGGCCCCAAACATCGACACGAATTTTAATCTCAAACAGCCTCACGCTCTGAGGATGACGTATTTGAAGACTGCCATAATAGCAGCACTGATGATGCCAGAAATGGGGACGGTAACAAACCAGGCCATAAAAATGTTGCGGAAGAGTCGCCAGTCAACAGCCTTTTTGGATCGGAGCCAGCCAACAGATACAACAGAGCCCACCTAGCAGAGTAAGGGATCAAGGAAACTGGTTAGTAAAGGCCAACGGTATTTTGGTAACAGACACACGATCTTCTGTAGGTAAGGAGCCCCAAACAGCTGATGAGACTGACTCCATGAAAGATGGTTTGGAACAGGATAAGAAGCAGATCACTCATGGAAAGATGAAGGCAATGTAAAAATCCAATCACTACATCTGTGGTAATTGGGGTAAAATACGAGAACAACATCTCCTCTCTCCCTCCTGAGCTACTGGAATTGTAATCAACTGCTTTAATAATGAACTGTTTTAATAAATTACGTGAAGTTTCAGGTTTTCCAAACATCATTTTAGAGGAGGACAGTTATTAAACCTCATAGTCAATCACCTGGAAATACCCTAGAAGAAAAAGGGATGATTCAAAGGCTCCATGATGAACCAACTTAAATTGCCTTAAGGAAGCCAGTTTTTTTTTTCTAGTTATTACATGGCCATCAAGCAACTTCAAATTCAACAAGATTCTCCGTACTTCAATTCTGAAGCTATGAATATACGCCTTCTATACATAACGCTGCCCTTCAACAGCCCAACAAGCCTCACAGACAGGCTAACTATATGTAAAAGGACTTTTGCCATCATTTAGGGAGAACATACAGTATTGGCTTAAATAATAAGAGTACTAGAAAGATAGCAGGAGGGGAAGAATGAAGGGGGGGGAAATCGGAGGGGTAGACGAACCATGAGAGACTATGGACTCTGAGAAACAAACTGAGGGTTCTAGAGGGCAGAGGTTGGGGGGATGGGTTAGCCTGGTGATGGGTATTAAAGAGGGCACGTTCTGCACGGAACACTGGGTGTTATGCACAAACAATGAATCATGGAACACTGCATCAAAAACTAATGATGTAATGTATGGTGATTAACATAACAATAAAAATTTTTTTAAAAAGAGTACTAGACCCAAGGAATTGTAAACTGTAAGCCTTCACATTATTGCAGTCATTTGTCCTAAATTTGTGAACTCTTCAGGACTCCAACTGCATAAAACTTTCTAAACTACAGTTATCACACTTAAAAAAACAAACAAAAAACTTCTCCATATTACTAGAACCATTCAATAGACACAGCACATATACATTACACTTACTTTACAATGTGTTGTACTGATGGGAAGACCAATATTTGATGCAATTACCACTGTGAGGGCAGATGCCAGTTCAATACTGAAGCCACTGTAGACATAAAAAGATTACTTGTCAAGAATGGAAGCTGTTTTATAAGCTAACATTACCTCAAAGTTAACACAATCTTACTGTGCTCTACTCAGTGACAAAACCTGACACTAACCTAACATCTTTAATTTGCTGTAGCTCCTGAAATCTATTCTTCTAAGATTTTATTTATTCATTATTCATTTGAGAGAGAGAGCACAAGCGGAGGGGTGGGAAGAGGCAGAGGGAGAGGGAGAAGGAGCAGCAGACTCCCCACTGAGCAGGGAACCCAATGTGGGGCTGGATCCCAGGACCTGGAGATCATGAGCCGAAGGCAGATGCGTAACCATCTGAGCCACCCAGGCGCCCCTGAAATCTAATTTAAATCAGGCTCTCTTCCCTCTTCTCTAACGTTTTTGAGGTTTTAAGGGTTCCTAGAAGCCCATTATTAAAGTTTGCACTTCTATCTGGAAGAATTTAATAAACATCAGTCTTAGCTCTCAAGTAAAGACAAATAAAGGACAAGTACACAGAGCTATTCACTCCACACACACACGTTTCTCAGAAAAGTTACATTAAGAGACCACTGGAGATGAATATTTGACCAAAATTATGTTTAAGGGCCAGACAATATGTAAAATCGAAAAAGTTCACAATAATGAGAGTAACAGCAGGACCTTATCCAAGCTTGGGTTACATTAGCTGAAGATTTGTGTGATAACACTACACAGTATTATGTATCCTAAGAAAATGAGCATTAGCCTAAGACCTGCTTTACCGACTTACCTAGAAGGTGTGATTGGTGTCAGATCTTTCCCCATGGTCTGGATAACTCTCCTTCCCCAAACCCACAGACCAATACAAATACCAACTCCACCATAGAGCAGAAGCCATATTGGTGTTGCTACTTTTGAAGAAACATCTCCTGTGTCATAAACCAGATACAAAGCAACCAGAGGACCGATGGCATTGCTGAAAGAAAAAAAGAGGACAAAGATGATTTTTCAGGCAGAACTAGAACTTGGCAAGATCCAGTTTGCTAAATGATCTGCTAGATTTTTTTTTCAATTTTTTTATTGTTATGTTAATCACCACATATTACATCATTAGTTTTAGATGTAGTGTTCCATGAGACCTACTAAATTATTTAAAGCAAAGCTGTCAAGCTCATTTCGCAAACAGTCCTTTCAAAAGAAATAAATGGGACCCCAACATACATAGCAGAAGAAAATGAAAGCTGCTCTCAAAGAATCCCATGCATTTGGTGGCCTATCATCCAACAGGAAACCTAGAACAACTCTGGTTCCAATGACCAGTTTACAAACGACAGAACTACAGCCAACAACCTCCAAATTCATTCCCTACGGGCAGTGATTTTTAAGCTTTTCATCTCCGTATTCACCGAATTTACTATCACAGAAATGGATCCTTTTTTTTTTTTTTTTTAAAGATTTTATTTATTTATTTTGACAGAGAGAGACACAGCGAGAGGTAACACAAGCAGGGGGAGTGGGAGAGGGAGAAGCAGGCTCCCCGCAGAGCAGGGAGCCCGATGCAGGACTCGATCCCAGTACCCTGGGATCATGACCTGAGCCGAAGGCAGACGCTTAACCAACTGAGCCACCCAGGCGCCCGAAATGGATCCTATCTTGATTGACAAGACCTCTCCATAAAGAATATCTGTGTTTCTCATCTACAGAAACATTCTTTGGGGCACCTGGGTGGCTCGGTCATTAAGCGTCTGCCTTCCGCTCGGGTCATGGTCCCGGGGTCCTGGGATCGAGCCCCACATCGGGCTCCTTGCTCCGCGGGAAGCCTGCTTCTCCCTCTCCCACTCCCCCTGCTTGTGTTCCCTCTCTCGCTGTGTCTCTGTCAAATAAATAAATAAAATATTTTAAAAAACAAAAACATTCTTTGTAATCTAAAGGAAAAAAAACAACCTTTTTTTTTTCTTTTTAAAGATGTTAAGTAATCTCTACACCCAACACGGGGCTCAAACTTACAAGTGAGATCAAGAGTGGTGTGCTCGGGGCGCCTGGGTGGCTCAGTTGGTTAAGCAACTGCCTTCGGCTCAGGTCATGATCCTGGAGCTCTGGGATCGAGTCCCGCATCGGGCTCCCTGCTCAGCAGGGAGTCTGCTTCTCCCTCTGACCCTCCCCCCTCTCATGCTCGCTCTATCTCATTCTCTCTCTCAAATAAATAAAATCTTAAAAAAAAAAAAAAAAAAGAGTGGTGTGCTCTACCGACTAAGCCAGTCAGGCACCCTTATAAAACACATTTTACTGCCTGTTTTATTAAGTCCATAACTGCTATTACCTCACCCTCTCTAGCTTATTCGTGTCCCACGGGGCGGTATGGTACCAAAGCCACAAACATAGCCTTATAAAAGGGAACAGGTGATACAAAAATAGAAAACGTGATGCTGTGATTCCAAGTCAACTGACCTGACGTCATTTCCACCATGGGCAAATGACCCAAAGCAGGCTGTAAGGATCTGCAGGAACTGGAAGAGGAGAGACACCTCTGGTTTATCCTGGTCATACCATTCTTCTAGAGAGCCGCTACTTCCTTTTCTGTCACCCAGACCCATCTCCGCCTTGACACTCATGTCCATCTCAGATGCCGAGTGAATGTCAGACACAGCATTGCAGTAACTGGTGTAACTGTCCATTCGAATTCGCTTCTTGCTGTCTGCATTAGGCCAGGTCAGCTTCTCCATTTCTTCACCTTTCTGTTCACCTTCTTTGGCACGGAATGAATCCAGAGGCATGCCACAAATTGCCATGGTGTAGGAAGTATAGCTATTATTGCGCCTCAAGGGTTTGTCGCCAGAGTCTCCCATGCAGTCTCCCACCTTGGCAAGATGTAATTTATGGAGCAGCTCTTTGTACAAGCCGGAATCTTTATGCACGGTGTGATACTGATAGTGCCCGCTGGAGTTTATCTGGTTACTGACGGCTTGATTGAACTGAACAAGGTTCCCATTAGGCAACTGCACTGCCCCTGGCCAAGACCAAAACAGTAACATTCAAAACAAAGAGCATCAGGTCCAAACAGTGAGCCTCCTCCCCAGTATAGGTAACAAAGTCAAACTCTTATCTTCCCCACTGAAGAAACTCCACTCACCATTCATGGTGCTATCTATGCTGGTTTCCTCTTTCAGATCCACGCTGGGAAGCCTCTCTCGCTCTGGAGCTTCCTCCAAGTCTCCAAGTTTGAACGAGACTGTTCTCTCCTCCACCACAGCCCGGAGTGGTACAGTGGCAGACCCTACCTCAGAAACAGGATTCCTGGTTTCAATATCGCTGAGAGACAACTTTGTTTCTTCGTGCTCTTCTTTCAAGCTATTCTTTTTTTCCATTAAAGGGCTTTCAGAAGGACTAGACTTTATTTCTCCTAGAAAAAAAGGGGGTTTTTTTTGGTTTGGTTTTGACCCAACTAACTCATTCCACAACTCCCGTCTCCCCAACTCAAAAAAAATCCATCTCAAGGTAATGTATTTTGGTGAAAATTCAGGATAATTTTCCCTGTCTGCTTCACTTGGCGTATCTCATATCCTTCCTTTGGGAAGAAATCAGCAATGCTTCAGAAGTCACAAACTTTTTCAGTAAAGGGCCAGACAGTAAAATATTTTAGGCTTTATGGGCTCTGTTGTATATTCTCCTCCTTTACAAAACAAAGATTTTGATTTTACAAGGATAAAAACTAATCCTAGCTCCCTGCTGACCCATTCTGAGGTGAAAGGTACCTAAAAAGCATGAGGTGGACAAATTGAAAATTTACACCGCATCTAATAATTCATGTTCTTTTTAAAAAAGGAATGCCCCCAAATTTCAGTCCAGGAGTTCAAGACTAAAGATGACAACTTGAATTCCCACCTCTGTAAAACAGAGATTCACTTTAATGCTCTGCCTTATGGTGCTAAATGCCATGACTAGGCAGGAATATCTTCTGCCCAGTCTACCAATGCCCAGTACGTTTACACGTTCATTCGGGTAGCACAACCATGCTACAGAGTAGAACCATAAAACATTAGCAAGACTTGTCTCCTCTTCTTCCAGACTGGGGGAAAAACGAGGTCAGGATGTCATGCAAGCCTCATTCCCACTGTGCGCACCGCACAAGCAGAGTAGCACAGACTAGAGGCTCTCAGAGAGGGCTCAGTGCAGCTGCATGACGCAGCACTCCTCCTAGTGCCCAGCAGTATGTGCATCCCTCCACTTCCCAATGACAAACGTGAAATCACTAACCAAGCATTTGCAGATGAAAAGGGCAGAAAAAGATCACTTGAACAGATCTCAAGCCAGTAAGGAAACAAATACAAGATTAAAAAAGACTGACACTAACGAAACTTATCCTGTATTTAATTACATTCTACTACTGTGTGTAGTAATGGTCTAAATGACTCCTTCATATTAACACTGGAAAAGATCTACCTCTAGAATTTGTGCGACGATTCTGAGAATTAAATCTAAAGTCAGATATAAATATGTGACTTAGCTTTGCGTGTCTAAATCTGAAGTAACACACACAGAAGTAGTTAGGATAAAGTTTTCTCCTTGAAAATATTTTGTACCTACCCCCTATTACACATTAAGATATCCTCACACTTCCAATTAATGTTAAGCTACTTCCCTCTGTATTTCTGTCACCAGCAACTGATACAGTAAAAAGTAGATTGAATGACCAGTTTGTCTACAGCATATGTCAACTATTCCTTATGAGTAGGTCCCAGGTCAAGTCAATAAAAACATAGTTCGGACAATAAACCCATCTCCTGAAATCTCATTTAAATTTCTGACTTTGCCAATCTATCCAAATAGTGGGTTTTTATTTAGTGATCACACAAGAAAAAACAAGCACATTGCTAGTTAAAATGTTCTGCTACAATGTTACTTACGTTCGATTTTTCTCTTCATCCTGGGACATACAAAGAACCAGACGATAAGGGCACAGAAAACTGCACATCCCACCGAGATGAGGATGGTGCCCCACAGAGGAAGTTTGTCAAAGCCCAGCACTAGGAGATAAAATGGTGCATCTTGAAAACCCCAGGGCAACAGCCCCCTGCAACAATGTGTAAACCCTCCTCTGGGGACTCTGGGGTTCCCCAAGCCAGCCCATCACCCTTTATAACTGCTGTCAGCCTTAGGTCCACAGGGTTTCTACTGTGCTCATAACTACACAAATTCAGGAGGGGAGAAAAATCCCATGGTCATCTGAAACCCACACCTCTACCTCTGGCCCACTCTCCACACCTGCTAGATTAAAGTCTCCCCAGCTCCTTCAAAAACGAGTTTTCCTTTCTTTACTTAGAAGATAATAAGGATCAACTATACTCTGAGGATCTGCAACTAGCTATGAAAAAATGGAAACCTTCCACTCCCTAAGCCTCCAGATGGTAGCTGCCACATGTTATGTTTGCACATACAGATTTTGATGTTAAAAAAGAAAGGGCCCCAAGAGTCATATTTGTCATACTGACAGAATTCTCTGTGGAAGTTATCACATCCATTGTATTACCCTCCAGTAAAATCCTTTAACAAGATTATCTCTTAAGCGACATTATCAAACTAGATACAGAAAACCAGAATATTATCAAAAGATAAGAATAGTTCAAAGGGCTATCTTTCACAAAAAGAAAATAATTTAGTGGTAATTTCATTAACAAGCCGTATCTTAGAAACTTGCCTACTTTTCACCTGGCTTTGGGATTAGTATCAGTCTTCATCTGCTTATCATTTAAATGCCAACAGGCTCCAAGGCACTAGCCTAGACTAATGACTGAAGCAAAACACTATAGAATTCTATTTGAGCCTAAAAGATGTTATAATGATCTATAGTTCATCCAAGAATAGCTTGGCTACCTGCAGTTCTTTTGCTTTATTCTGATTAGGAATTAAATTACTTATAAAATGGAAAATCTATTTTCCCCCAATGATTAATATTTTAAAATCACATATAAACTGTGGTCCCTTCAAAACTAAAGTTCTATAGTGACTACAAATCTTTCCATTTTAATTCCTATCAATTCTAGCCATGTATTTAGTCACACAAACTAAAATATATATGAAATTTAATCAATCTCTATTACAATTTAAATTTGCCTGTGTTCCAGGTCAAAAGGGGGAAACAAGAAGGGGAAATTTTCCTGGCAAATGATCCACACAGAACAAAAATATCCCAAGTTCCTTTTTCAAAAATGACTGAAAGTTTAAGTTTCTAATTTCACTGAACTATGAGCTTTGCTGCTACCAGATAAAACAGTGCTTAGAGCCTCTCCTATGAGGTTTAGCACAAAGAAACAACTCAATTTAAAATAGAACGAAAATGCAGCATGCATGCTTTTCTTTGCCTGTACCATTTAGCAAGGAGTCTGGTATCCCCTAAGTAAGATCAATATTCTCATAAAGGTGTCCATTTTCCTTCCTAATTATTCCAAGAATAAAGACAAGGTTAAAAATACTTAGCTAATTCCATTTTTGGTCAGTGACTTACTACTTCAGTGAAGTTTAAGAAGCAAGTTACAATCCATTAGTCAGAAAAGTAATCAATTTAGTGGGCCCCAATGAACATTAAAAACTAAAGAGAATTATCTGAAAATATGAGTGCACAGCACACAGTAAGGGTAAATAGCTTCAACATACTATTCTGGTTTTCCTTCCTCTCTCTTTCTCTACATGGGTGTCTTGGGCAGCAATGTACAATGTATTTTTTCCAGTAGGTCACAGTCAAAAGATCAAAAGCCACTCACTTGACCATCAAGTCAAATGACCCTAGATAGCAAAACTGAACTGATCAAAGCATGTACTGTCCTGTAAGTTACAAGTGATTGGTCTTTTTCAGTTGTTAAATTGAACACGTATCATAATTTAATCCATGCTTTGCCTTAGTCCCAAAATAAAAGCAATCATTTCAATCTTTATATCCTCAAATTATTTTTCCTCTTAGCTGCATGAGTTCTTCTTCCAAGTGCACTTAGACCAGTTGTTAAACATCCCAACTCTTCTCATTCAAGCAGATTCAGGGAAGTAAATTTAGTGCTTAGAAACAAAGGTAGCTCCATTTGGGAGAGAAAAATGAGAATATCCAGCAAACCAGTCCTAAATGACTGATTATTGAAGACCAAATATAACTAATGACTCTTCAGTAGTCAGTAGTTGAGGTCAATATCACTTCCAGTATTTTTAGCATAGACAGGAGAAAGGGAGGGAGAAGGGTCATATTATCGGTGGATCCTGTGAAGACTAAAGAGTAAAGGTCTGTAGTGATTTAGAATCTGAGCAGGTCTCTTTGGTTGAAAAACTATCTAGGTTAACTCAGCATACACTAGCCTGCAGCCTTCTGAAATGGGCGCAGGCCAGCCACCTTCTAGGAGATTTCAGCCCTGTAAAGCAAAAAGGGGTAAATTGGGCATTTAATGCAAGTTTTATAAACAACTTTAAATTCACATTTAAATATTTTGATATGTACTTACAAGGTGCTCCAGTATACATGATGGAAAAAAGGTTTATTCCAACTGTGCAGGCATAGAAAACTGGCAAAGCTCGCAAACCATTAGGAACTGGATCTGCCTGTAAAAGATCATTAAGATCAATACCTTAAAAGGTGTTGAAGTTAATTCATTTCCATAGAACCTTGTAAAAGGGCAGGTTCGGGAATTACAGTGCCAGTTAATGGTCTCCAAGCAGTAGGAAAAGCCCAGTTGGCCTTGTTCCTGGAAGTCTCCCTACTAAGGCTGATCTCATCTTTTACATCTACCTGAATTTAAGTTTGTGTTTGGTTTATTATTATTTTGTGGGGGGGAGGGGTTTGCTATTTCTAACAAGGCTACCTATCCCAGTGACTGGTAATGTCCCAATTAATCAGTTTTATCACCCAGTGTTCTAAGGTATCTGATGTCCAGATGTAAATCTGAGCATACATCTGAGATGTACATTTGTAAAAAATGTCAAGAAATAGATTATGAGATGTTAGGACATTTCTCACCATGTCTGCAAAGTTGTTTTTTTTTTTAACATTTTATTTATTTATTTGACAGAGAGACAGCGAGAGCAGGAACATAAGCAGGGGGAGTGGGAGAGGGAGAAGCAGGCTTCCCACTGAGCAGAGAGCCCGATGTGGGGCTCAATCCCAGGACCCTGGGATCATGACCTGAGCCGAAGGCAGACGCCTAACCACTGAGCCACCCAGGCACCCCTGGAAAGATTTCTTAAAACCAAAACATGCAGAATTTACCTGCAACAACCATCTTTTCTAGACATCAATAAATATGTCATTATTAATAATTTACCAAAGTGCTAAGATAAAAATCAACTGTACGCTAAGTCACCTCCTCATTCAACAGACTGTGCCAAACACTACTGTGGGCCCTAATATGTGGGAATGAATGAGACAAAGTTCCTGGCCTCAGAGAACTGACATTTACATTCTAGTACAGAAAAAAGTAGCAATAAATACTATGAAGAAAATAAAGGAGGGTAAGGGGCAGTGACGGAAGGAGGGGCACACTGGGGAGTATCAGTGGAACATAGACACAAATGTGGTAAGCCAACAAGCCACGTGCATTCCTAAGGGTGGAAAAAAAAGCAAGCCACCTCGGGGGGGCGGGGGGTTGTATTCCAGACAGAGATACCAGCAAGTGCAAAAACCCTGAGGCAAAAACTCCAGATGGTTAAGGAACTGCAAGGCCAGTGTAACTGGAAATAAGAAGAGTTGCACTTACAACAAATATGTATTAATTCTAAAGGAAAACATCGAAGTCAAACACTTAAAGAGAACACAGATTTGAATATACAGGGAAGACTAAACTATGAAGATATTACCCTAAAGGTTTAATGCTGTCTCGATCACAATCCAAAAGAAAATCTTGAGAAATAAGAGAAAGACCCAAAGTGATTCTAGAGTTTCTGACTAGGGGTACATGGCTGGCTCAGTCGGTGGAGCACATGACTCTTGACCTTGGTTGTGAATCTGAGCTCCACACTGGGCACAGAGATTACTTAAAAATAAAATCTTTAAAATATAAATAAATAAATACAGCTTCTAAGACAGTCAATTCATTGGGAAGAAGGAGGCAGTGGCTGAAGATGAACACAACAGAAGATGCCATTCCAAATCAGTAGAGATGAGCCCTCACTGAAAACCACTTTGAGTTTTAGCTATACTTTAAATATATAATATATAAATATACAAATAAATAAACACTACACAAAGAGAAATAGCCAAAATAAAACAATAGCTTATGCCTAGGAACTATATTCTATACCCAGAAACTGTTAAGCATCCCAGAATAACTACAGTGTGTCACACTCCAAGGGCAGTCAATAAAGTTATAAACCTGATGCATATATGTATTTTTCTTCTAAGAACTATCCATGGTTTTAAGATCCTCCCCCAAATCAAAACCCATTAGGGTTCTATAAACATTATATAGGGACTTCTCTTAACAGATTTTCAAATACTATTTGGTAATATGGTATCAAATCAAGCTAATTAGAGTTGGGAGGAAGTAGCTTATGTTTTTATTTTTCTGTATAGCCCAATTATGTATTCCCGAAGGTAACCAATAATTAATTAGTTGGGGGGAAGGTAGGGAATGAATGATGCTACTAATGGTTTATTATGAAATACAGGCTCAGGGGCGCCTGGGTGGCTCAGTCTGTTAAGCATCTGCCTTCGGCTCAGGTCATGATCCCAGGGTCCTGGGATTTAGTGGGGCTCCCTGCTCAGCGGGGAGTCTGCCTCTCCCTTTCCCCCAGCTCACGTTCTATCAAATAAATAAATAAAATCTTTAAAAAAAAAAAGAAAGAAAGAAAGAAAGAAATACAGGCTCATAGGCTAAAAAAAGTCTAAGTTCATAAATCAGCCAGGGGGGAATAAAACAAACCGTGTTCTCCCTTTAACTCCCTCCAGACTCCTCTCAGAAACTCGCAAGAGGTAACCAAGGCTAACTTCATAAAATTTTTATTACTGTATGACCCATCTAACACACACTTGAATCTTTACCTGGAAATAATGTAATATCTCACCATCCAGTTATGTGAGATGTGAAAAGGGGGTCTTCGTAACTCCCCATCTTTAACCACAATAGTCCATTGTTTACATACTGGATGTTCCCATAAACCTTTGTCTAAAGAAAAAGGCTCCTCTGAGTTTGAAAAGATGTCCTAGATTTAATGTGATTCCTAACAAAAGGGAGAAAGCAGAGGGACCTGTTTTCTCTAACTAGCATTTAAATACCCAACAGGAAAACTTTCCCTTATCCCCTGTTCCTTGTTTATTGTCCCCAGTCCTTAAAAGGGAAGTACCTCACCTCCACTCTGGTTTTTCCTACTAGACCACCTAATACCCTTGAAACAGACACTGAGAAAACAGAAAATTTTTTTTTTTTTAAGATTTTTTATTTATTTATTTGACAGAGAGAGACACAGCGAGAGAGAGAACACAAGCAAGGGGAGTGTGAGAGGGAGAAGCAGGCTTCCCTAGGAGCAGGGAGCCCGATGCGGGGCTCGATCCCAGGACCCTGGGATCATGACCTGAGCTGAAGGCAGACGCTTAACGACTGAGCCACCCAGGCGCTCCGAGAAAACAGAAAATTTTTAAAAGGAAATTTTAATGTTAATTTCCAAAACAGAATCTTAAGTTGGAAAGCATCTTAATGATCAAATATTCAGACTTTAACAGCCAGGACCCCCAAAGATTACCAGCATAAGGATGTCTTCTTGAGATTTAAAACCTAAGGTAACCAGAACTATTCACATTCATCACCTAAAGACTCACTGATAGATTGGGCACAAGGATATATATGGGTCATAGGGAGGAAACGGGGGTTTGGAGGTCAAGAAGGTTCTCAAAGTCAGTATTGTTTTAAACACAATTCCAGGGCGCCTGGGTGGCTCAGTCGTTAAGCGTCTGCCTTCAGCTCAGGTCATGATCTCAGGGTCCTGGGATTGAGTCCTGCATCGGGCTCCCTGCTCGGCAGGAAGCCTGCTTCTCCCTCTCCCACTCCCCCTGCTTGTGTTCCTGCTCTCGTTATCCCTCTGTCAAATAAGTAAATAAAATCTTAAAAAAAAAAAAACACACAATTCCAATCATTCTGAATCATGTCCATCCTCATTCCCACATAAAGAATATATAGTTGGGCGCCTGGGTGGCTCAGTTGGTTGAGCGACTGCCTTCGGCTCAGGTCATGATCCTGGAGTCCCAGGATCGAGTCCCGCACTGGGCTCCCTGCTCGGCGAGGAGCCTGCTTCTCCCTCTAACCCTCCCCCCTCTCATGTACTCTCTCTCTCTCTCTCATTCTCGCTCTCAAATAAATAAATAAATCTTAAAAAAAAAAAAAAAAAGAATATATAGTTAAGAAGTTAATATATTTAACTTAAGTTCTCAACTGTGGGTAAAAAATACCTGTCCATGCATTTCTCAAATCAGAGATTCTGGGCACTAAAAATCCTTCCTCACACTTCAGAGCACCACCATTCCTCCTCCAAGAAAGAAGACAAGTTTGTTTTGTCTTGAGACACACAAAGCCTCTCCAGAATCAGAACAATCTGCTTCTCAGTAATTAACAAAGACCCAATGTAAACTTTTATAAAGCAGGAATCCCTAACAGAGGATCCTATTAATTCTTCTGGTTCTCTGGTATAGAGCAAGCTATATGGCTCTAATAAGAAGACTGAAAAATCTGATCAGTGACTACCGGTACACCTCAAATCTAAGCATCATGTTATCATATACTACAACAGTTCTGGGGATTGGGAGGTAGGTGCTCATCATGCCTGTATGCTAAGTAGAACCATACCAAACTTCAAGGTCATTAGTAGTAACAATGAACTATTTACTCTCAAATTATAATCAACCTATAGATGTTTCAAATTTTCAACTGCTATACTCTGCCAGACTCAGGTCAGAGGAAAAGTGATTAATGAATCATGGTATTTCTACAGAGGTACAAATCCTTCCCTACAGAAGCTTACAACAGGACCAAACAAGTGGGTCTGAATATATTCTTACCCCTTGCGATTAAGCTACCTATCTCCGTTCACTCAGATTTCTACCATTTAGGAGCATTTTTAAGAACTTACAATGGACCGTTAAGAGCCAGTCCCCTCAGAAAAAGGACAACTTTGTTTCCCGAGAAAAATGCATTTATTCTTACTCAGTAAGTAACTCAGTCCAATGACAACATCCCTTGTTGTCTACATTTATTTTGGAGCCAGCATCAGACTTCTTGATAAAAGAAATGCTACTGGGTCACTCAAAAGGGATTTTCAAATGGGACAGGAAATTAAAGGACTGTCTGGAAACTTTTTTTTGCCAAGAAAAACAAAACAAAACAAAAACTACCTTTACTGGCTCTTTTTACCTAAGAAATTAGAGTCATGTCACTGTGAGAGGTAGAGTCCCCACCTAGAAGCTTATAAACTGGTTATGATAATCAGCACTACAGAAGTAACTACGTGGAGAGCCAAACTACTCAATCTAACTATCAGCTAAAAAAAAAGCCACAAGAGACATTGTGACTTATTGAACCCCAGGCTTATAAGTCAAACTGGTCTGCAGATGATGGTTCAGGTAAAGCAGTAATCAGCAAACACCTGTACAAAGCCGCCCTGAATAAATTTCCTTATTTTCTCATTCCCAGCCCCTCCTATTTCTTGGCACACCGTAGTACTCATTCAATTTTTCCTTCCTGAATGCATTCGTTCTTGGTTATTGAAAATTTGTTTCAGAGAACTCAGCAACATACAAGAGATATACAGAACATAAATTTTTTAAATTTCTAAGGCCACACCAATCACATCTGGAAGAACGCTAACAGTCTGAATACCACGTGAGTATGACCCATCAAAGGTCATAAAAGAGGGGAGAGAAAGATTACCTTACGGAGGATGAATGCACGAACAAGGAAGAATAAAATTCCAGACATAATACCAGAAAGCAGTGGAGAGATGAACCAAGACATCACTGGAACAGAACACAAAAAAAAAAAATGTCTATTAATGAAAATCAGAAACAAACAAAAAAAAAACACCTTAAATTTTAATATTCTATCTTCAAAATTTTCTATTTTACACCATATATTTCATATAATGCCATGGTAGCACATGACAAGAATAAAAATTTAAAAACCATTTAGAATTAAACATACCAATTTTTACCAGTTCAGACCACTTGACACCCTCCTGCCCCTTTGCCACAAGGGAGAAACCAATGGTTGCACCAACAATACAATGGGTTCCAGAAATGGGAAGCTTCAAAAACGAAGCCACTAGTTGCCACACAGCAGAACCTGAAACACAGGCAAGTTTTATTAAATGGCAAAATTCTTAGGAATGCACTGCATTCTGAAGAAGAAAATCTGAAAGGGAGGGCACAGGAACGGAACTACCCATTTGCTCACCCGCCACTAAGGAGCATACATAAAAAGAACTTACCAAACATCGCACTGACGGAGCCGGCCATCAACAGCGGTTGGGTCGAATTGTACATCTCCACGTCGATCAAGCCCTTCCTGATGGTTTCGCTCACTTTGGCCCCCAGGAGGACAGAGCCCACGGTTTCAAAGATACTCGCTAGGATGCACGCTTGCTTGAGGGTCACTACACCTGAGCCCACAGCTGTACCAAACGAATTTGCTACATCATTGGCTCCCACGGAGAATGCCAAGACAAATGCAATAATGAAGCCCAGGATCAGCATCCATAGGTAGTCCACCAATGGACCAGAGGCAGCAGTAGCAGCAAAAGTACTGGTAGGCAGCGTTGTCACGGCAGATGCCATTCTCTAGACTAGTGGTTTGTTTGTTTGTTTTTAATTATAAGAGAATTACTGAGCGGCTTTCAAGATGTGTAAACAGAATATGAGGTATCAAAAATGCTATAATAAATAATATATATTATATAAAATTAAATACTGTAAACTACGGCACAGAAACCGAGCTGGGGAGTTACTGCTATACGCTGCGTATGGGCATCTGTTGTCTGGGGTTTCTTTGGCTCTGGAGGGCTAAAAGCAAGGAGAATTCCATGGCGGAGAAGAGAAAGGACGCAAGTTCATCCTGGGGGGGGGAGGGGGAAGAAAATAACAATAACAGCGAGCCCTTGGGGGGCGCGTGCGGCACCCCGCGCTGGCCCACGCGGCTGGGGAACCCGGCCTTGTCCTCCGCCCGCAGCCCACCGTCCCCGGCCCCGAGCAGGGCTCGCGAGGCGGTGGGCACGTGGCGCCGGGAACCTCCTCGGCCGGCGCGCGCCCGGCCTGCGCCCCCCCGCCCGCCGCCGCCGCCGCCCGCCCGCGCGCGCCCTCCCCACGAAAACCGGAAAAGGGCCGTTCCCGCGCGCGCGCGCGCCGCCCGGGGACCGCCAAAAAGGCCCGCGGGCGGGCGGGGTGGGGGAGGGAGGCGAACAGAAGCGAAGCCAGAGTCTCGCCGCACCGCCCGCACCGGCCCACCCGACCGCCTCCGGCGCCACGACGTCGGCGCCTGGCCCCGGGGAGAAGAAAGCTTTATCCAAGGTGGCGCCACCACTCACCAGAGGAAACGAAGGGCCGAGCGGGAGACTAGAGGTGCAGGCTGCGGCGGTGGGTTGGAGCCACGGACGCACGCACCTGTGGCCGACGAGGAGACGGCCCGGGGCGGAGGCTCCGGGGACGGTTCGGCGGGGCTTAGCGACCCACCCTGGAAGCACCCGCGGGCCCCTCAGCGGCCGAGAAGAGAAAGCACGCAGCGCGCGCCGGCAGCCATCACTCTGGCGGTACACGCCGCCGGCCGCTACTTATAGCCCGGCGCCGCGACCCGCGTGACCCGCCGCGCCTCGCCCCGGCTCCAGAGCCCCGCCCCCGGGATGGCGCAGCCCCCACCGGCCGGCGTGCCCAACCGGGTGAGCCCGACGGCGGCGCTCATTGGCCGGACCCGCGCCGGCGGCCACGCCCCCAGAGGGGAGCTTGTCCACGTGGGGAGGGCTAGCCCCCACTCTGCAGCCTCGCCCTGGCGACTGTGTAGAGGCTCGCCGCACCGGTTAGTTACTGGTGGAGACCGTGGGGGACCCTAGCGCTGCCGCCGGAGGTCGTCATGCGGGGTTTTAGAGGCCGCGACCAAGGTCATTCCTAGTCCCTCTATCTCGCGGGCCCCGTTTCACAGTGCTGACCGCTTCTCCAGCCTTCCTTTGAGCGCACTAGTGACCTGCCGCGTCCAGAGGCCACACCTGGCCGAGTTCCCCTCCCGTCCGTCCAGTGACGCTGCGGGAGAGCTCGAGCCCTCGGGCTCCAGATCCAGTCCTGGCACGTTGTCGCACCTGTGACTTGCCCTTGGCCAGACAGGCACTGGCCCTCGTCGGGGGAGGGAGAAGGCTCACGTGGTCGGTTTGCTCCCGCAGTCATGCACTTGGGTGAAAACAGAAAGACTGAAGAGTCACGAGAACCGGGTTGTCTCCCCGTTTATGGCGCAGAGCCTCAGGAAGGCTGTGGGTCATTAATTTCCTGTAGACCTGCGTTTTCTACGTCGTGGCTGTGGCGCGGGAGGAAGGACACTGCTTCGGATTCAAGTCCTGACTCCTACTTGCTGCAGTGTGTCACCTTGAGCAAATTCCAGATCTCTCAGACTGCATTGTCACTAATGTAAAATGTTAACAATCAGTACCTACTTTGTGGCAGGACTTAAATTAAGGTACGCGAATGTGACCAGCACTCAGTAGGCACAGAATGCCAATTTCCGGTTTGCTCTTAATGTAAAAATACCTGTTTTAGGATGTAGGAAAGGGTGGAAGGGGACGGTCTCTGTGCATCCGAGAAGCTTTTGTATTCTTTTGATGTAAAAATTGATTTCTGGTCTCCTACAGGGTGTATAATATAGTTTTGACGTTAATAAGATTTGCTCTGCACATTTGGGGGCATTTATTCTATTGTGCAGCTTAAGATCAAAACTAATCATGTCGGGAGATTAAAGTCGTACTTTCTTGTCAGGGTTGTAGTGAGATTGAAGAATTTCAACCAGAAATACTTACCAGGCTTAGAATGTTCTAGAGTCCTTTCCACCTTTTTGCCATCTCTAGTAGCAGGGCACTGAAGAGCAGAAGCAAAGATCCTGTAAATCATTGCTCTGTCTGGGACATCTATGGAGGCTTAAACTGCACATGAGTATTCTCTGACCTATCTAGAAGATCTGATGGAGTTCTGTGAGTAATTTACAAAGCTCTAGGTCCCAAGGTCATGTCTGAAGCAGAAAGTTCATGTCTGGGAGCAATGACCCTAGAATGCAATTCTGATGTAATTCTGGCACCTTAAAATGTATTCCTCCCTCCTCCTTCAATTCATTCCAAGGTTATGAAAAAATTGAATAAAAGGACTGATCTGTTAAAGGTCCTTAGTGTTCTGCCATTTTAAAACGATGATTTTGGGTTGGGGGTGATGTGTGTGAAATAGGTGAAGGGGATTAAGAGTACACTTACCGTGACGAGTACTGAGTGATGAATTGTTGAATCATCACCTAAAACTGATATAATACTGTATGTTAATTATATTTGAATTTAAAAAATAATAAAATTTTAAAAACAATTTTCAAAGCAATTGTTTGTAAGGGAATTGCTTAGGACTTGTCACAGCATGTGTGTTTTGTTTTTGTTTTTGTTTCTTTTTGTCCACGGACATACTTTTTCTGGTCAGTGGTATTAGCCCTTCAAGTTCGCAGATACTTAACTGGACAACCTCTGAGTCAGGGGGTGGGGCAGCCACGGTGAGTAGCCATCAGGGTAAAAGAGCATAGCCCAGGCCCTTGGGATGGGTTTGCAGGGAGTCGGAGAGCCCTGGGGCAGAGATTCAGAGACTTCCCCTTGCATTACAGGTGAATTCCATCAACATCTTTAGGCTGGTCCTATCCTTCCTCCTTAGGACAACAGGGTGCCTCTGCCAACCAGGCTACAAGGAGGGAGAAGTTGGGGATTGGGGTGGGTCCTGACCACCTCACCAGTGGAGAGAGCATCAGTGGGGTACAGCCCTTAGAGACCTGGAGTTGCCTTGGTCCTGATGCCTTCATCTTCCCAGGGGGGAGGAGAGGTAGGACTCTGCCTGTAAGAGAAGTTACAGTGCGCTAAAAATGGAAAGAGGAGGTAGGAAGACCGCCAAGTCATACACAGATGGCACTGGTTCCGACCTTATCGCTGAACTTGGGAAAGAAGACAGAGATCCTAAGGATAACATTTCTCTGTTAGAGTCAAGGTGTTGGTGCACACTCTCTAGGATCTGAGTGAGGCCATTTGGTCTGGTGGTTAAACACACAGACTATAAAGCCAAACTACCTATTCTGCTATTCACTAGTCACGTGACCAGGGACAAATACATTCTCTGCCTTATTTTCTTCATCTGTAAAGGGGAGATGTTGAGAGTCCCTACTCTATAGGGCCATTGTGAGGACTCAAGGTATATAAAACTCTTCTAAAGTTCTCACACGTGGCTGACACTACTTAGGCATTCATACTCTCCTTATTCAACTGCTGAAGGCCTACTATGTGTATGTCAGCTGTCAGAGCTGCCATCTGGGCCAAAAGCTCATTCAGACTTCTCGCACTGCTCATAGAAAATGAGGGGCCACATAAAACTGGAACCTGCTGCCAGAGGGGGAGGGGCAGTGTGTGGCAGAGGACACATGGTGGGCTCACTGGCCCGGGAGTGGGAGGCCTGGGCCTGGCTCAGGCCCCGACTGCCCGTAGGATCTTTGGTAGATCAGGGTCACTATCACTGAGCTCGCAAGCCCAAGGGTCCCTCACCCATCCTCATCATCAAAGGACAGGGAAAGCCTACTACATGCTGCTAAACATCAACTTGAGCACCACGGGTTTGGAGTTTTCTTGGAGATGTCTCCATCTCTCACTAACCTGATGGAGTTAAACTTCTGAGAGCTGGGAAAGCAGACCCACCAGCCCCTCCAGACCTGCCGAAGTGGGACAAAAGGAGGCAACACCACTTTTGCACTTCCTGAGCCCGAGAGACTTGCAGTCAAGGAAATGCATCTGAGGTCACTGTTCAATGAGCAGGAAGTAAGCATCCTGGAAATAATCTACTTGGAGGGGCAGAGACTACAGTGGGAATGGGAACATTGTGGAGCCAGACTAGGATCAGAGGCGATTTCAGAGGCTGTCCATTAGAACTTGGATGGAGCAGGAAAGAGAAGGTAGGAACCTTTGAATAAAGGAAAACCACCTCCCTTCTACCCACTACTCCCTTCCACTTGACGACAGTCACAAATGAATGAGGTTGTAATATCTAAGGTTGGGATTAAATGTTTACAATGTGCCAAGCATTGTTTCAGGTGGTCTGTGTGTATCATCTCATGGGAAGCTCTCTATAAACCTCTAGTTGATATACCTTATTTTACAGACAAATTGAGGCACAGAGAATGAAGGAACAGATAACCCAGTAAAGAACCTAACAAACTGTGAGCTTGTAGGTGCTTCTTCCCTGGCTGTCAGTAAGTGCAGAGGCAAATGTGATGCCCTTAGGTGTTAACTCTTATTTGCACTCAAGTTAACACGTTTACTTCCCCCTTCTTTCCTCCTTATTTTTATTAATTCTGTTGCTTTTACTGCCTGCATTTTAAGCCTCCTCAAGTCCTGTTGGAAGAGAAAGGGCATTTCTAGGAGACCTGACTCCAAGACTGTCCCCAGTTTCCCCAGAATAAGAAGAGGCAGGAAGCCAAGGGCACAGGTTCTCTCAAGAAATAAAGTTGAGGCAGTAGCCTGACCATGTTTCAGAGTTACCGAAAACTCCATTCTCTTGAGACTTCTCAAGAAAGGAAATCTAGGGACGCCTGGGTGGCTCAGTTAGTTAAGCGACTGCCTTCGGCTCAGGTCATGATCCTGGAGTCCTGGGATGGAGTCCCGCATCAGGCTCCCTGCTGAGCAGGGAGTCTGCTTCTCCTTCTGACCCTCCCCTCTCTCATGTGTGTGCTCTCTCTCACTCATTCTCTCTCTCTCAAATAAATAAAATCTTAAAAAAAAAAAAAAAAAGAAAGAAATCTAGGGGTGCCTGGGTGGTTCAGTCACTGAGGGTCTGCCTTCGGCTCAGGTCATGATCCCAGGGTCCTGGGATCGAGCCCTGCATCCGGCTCCCGGCTCTGCAGGAAGCCTGCTTCTCCCTCTCCCACTCCCCCTGCTTGTGTTCCCTCTCTTGCTGTGTCTCTCTCTGTTAAATAAATAAATAAAATCTTTAAAAAAAAAAAAAAGAAAGGAAATCTATCTTGCACCCACCTGTAGTCAATTCCTACAGGTAATAGGTTCAGAATAAATAAATTGATAATGATAATAAGTGAATGAATGAATAATAAATAATAATAAAGTAAGGACCACGGATCACCATCACCACCAGCACTTTCCCACCTGCTGTGGATAATGGCTGGCCACTGCCTTCAAACATTTCCTCATTCCCCATCAAATAGGACTGGGCACCCAGTATCCATGGCTCTGCCCACCAGGTCCAGGGAAAGTTCCAGACAGAGACGGAGTGTAGCGGAAGGCTGCTTTCAAGCACCCAGACAGCCCAGCTCTGATGTGGAGACACTGGTTGAGACCCGTCTCAGGCCAGTGTCCCACAGCAATAAGGAGCCAGATTTTGGTTGCCTCAGGCAAATGGGTCGGTCCATTCCTCTGCCCACCCAAGGAGTGGAGGACAGGGCCACCCACTCCAGACTTTATGTGCCTCCTCCTAACTGCTCATCGCCTGGTCTCTCCTTGGTTTTGAGTTCATACATTTGAGTGTGATGGGGCCTAGGACCCAGACAGAGGGGGCAAAAGTACAGTTCTTAGAGCTTGAAATGGTTCTGAAGTCTCTAGTTCTTCGAGCCAGCTTTCAGGACAGCCTAGTGTTTTTGAACACTTCTTCAGAAACACCTCTCTCTGGAGACCTAAACTGGGACTCCATTTTCTCCAAGGCCCAAATTTCTCAGCTCTTCTCGGGAAAGCAGGGAGGAAAGGCAACTTGCTAGAAACTCAGGAACTGTATGTCATGAAGATCCTGTGGCAGAAGGGGGGAAGGAGGTCAGCTCACTGCCACCACACCCCAGGACATGTGGTTTTGGGCTGAGAAAGTGAGTGGGCAGCAGGACGTGAGTCATCCACATAGCCATTCCAAGGACGAGGTAGAGAGTAAGGGCTCCAGGCACTGTGTCGCTTCCCCTAGCTCTTCATTTGTTCATTCATTCAACAAATAGTTCGCCTTAGATCTGGCAGATCAACGAGATTGACCAGCCCATGCCCTCACAAAACACAAACTCCTTCTTACATCTAGAACTTCACACTGAGGACTGGCCACAGACAAAACAGCCAAGGAGGCAAAGTCAACCTTCTATCCCCCGCCAGACCTCCCACTCCTGTACCCAGCTCACACGGCTCCTTTTCCAGTACACCCTTATTATTGTTCTCTCAGCGAACATTTCCAGGACCCAAGAGAGTGCCAGGTCACTCATCCCAGAGTCTACCCCCACACTGCCCCGCCTCCTGCTCTCAATAGGCTCCCCCCTCAGCTGGCTCAGGGCCCCTCAGTCTTCAAATCACCTCAGCAAGAGAAAGCTGGCCAAGAAGAACCCCACAGGGCCCCGTGGGTGAATCTGAAGAAAAAGCTGTCTGTCTTGGGGGAGAGATCAGAGCCTAGGGAGGTCCAGAAATTCAGGTGCTGGGGACTCAAAGAAGGGCTTCAGCTGGTGGAAGCTGCCTCGTGGGAGACTGAGGATCTGAGCAGAACCCAGTTTCTTCGTTTTCAGTGGGCAAATCCATTTCCAGTGACGGGGACCTTCTTGCCCTCTGCCTAGAGCCTTGCTCCTTAAAGTGCGGTCTACAGACCCTCAGCAGGGCAGTTTGCAGTCTCAGGCCCCACCCAGACCTACTGAATCAGAATCTGCATTTTAACAAGGTCACCATGTGATTCATATGTACATGACAGCTTGAGAAGCAATTACGGGAAGAATAATGATTCTTGTTACCTGGTAAGTTTAGAAACATTATGTTAACACATTCTTTTTCAGTTGGACGTTGAAAGGCATCCCTTTTTTTTTCTATATTAAATCTCAGTTTCCTGAGGAGTGGTTCGCAGATGAGGCTCTGGGGTCAGACGATCTGAAATTAGAATCCAGGCTCTACCATTTCCCCGCTAGAATCACGGGCAAATCACTTCTCTGTGCCTCACACTCCTTCTCTATAAATTGGAGATAATAGGGTTGTTATGAGCATGGAATAACTAAAGTGCTCGCGCTGTACCTGGCATTTAGCAAGCACGCAATACATTGGGATACTAATTGGATTTGGGTGTCCCCGAGTTTCCTACACACTACATTTACCATCTTTTAGGCTGAAATGCTTCCGTAGTTGATGGTCTCATCTATTATGCACAGATTCTTCCTAGTTTTATTTTCCAAAG